CAAGTTCCAGTTATACTTTGCCATCTGTGTCAAGATTTCAATAGTTTTGATGGTGTGAGTCAAAGAGTCTCAGTGCAGAATGAGTTTACTGAGATATCTGTATTATAATATGATGACAATTAGGATGGTTGGCATATGGCTGGCATTCTTCCAGGTGCAAAAAGCCCCAGTGCCGTGTCTTTGCTTCAGCTTGTGTATTTGGAACAGTTTGATTTTCCTCATGGTTTAGGGTCACTCATCCTGCAGTACAATCTGCAGTCTCTGGCTGATTGACTCCACCTTATTTTGACAGGGAGTGACTTGGACTTAACCTTTTTTAACTTAGTTATGCATCGAGCTGCGTAGACCGAGTTTGGTTCGGAGGACACCTAGTCCAATTCTCAATCTAAGCATGGCAACTTTTTTGTCTAGTTTTGATGGAGAAGAGGAAAGAGAAAAGAACTTGATTAGAACCATCTTCATTTTGTACTGTCACCATTAATCGCAAAATGAAAGATGAATGCATTGCTGTTTCCTACCTGAAACTGCTCGGGTTTCTATGATCTGTGTTGATTCATATGTATGAAAGGTATACCTAGAACATACCTGAAATACCAGTTTTAGTGGCTAACTGGCTTACTAAGATTATTAATCTACAATTGGGTAAAGTCTGAGAGAGGTATTGAAAGATTCAGAGTGGCCAACAAGAAGATAATTTTGGCTCTGCACCAAAGTAGAAGTTTAAAAGCCAGTAGAACCTCACCCCTGAAAAGATAAGCACGGTGGCCTTAGGACAATTAATGTAGCTATGAGTCTGGGTCCTACTAATTTGCAAAAGTCTGTGTGACTAGGCAGTTGCTGTGAGAATCAGCCTAGCAAACTCTGTTGCTGTCCTGCTTTATAACTGTGATGCTTCTTACAAGTCACGACTTCAGTTTCTGAGTTATACCTCAGGTCCTCATGCTTTTGTGAAATGAGGATGATAGTGCTACTCTGTCAGACTGGTAGTGTGCTTGCACAGAGTGATACATAGGTGTGCTACAAGTATGTAAGGGTGTATAAACACACCTACCCTGTGGCAGGTGTCAGGATACTCCCAGATGATTGTTAATCATATGTTTTCCACATAGGTTACTGTTCTGAGGTGTCTGTCCAGTAAATAGCAGCTGACAGTGACTAAATGCTGGTATACATGTATATAAAGGCAGAGAGAGAGATATTTTTTTTTAGAACATGTGTTATTCAATATCATACATTCCTAAGGGGAAGAAATTGAAACACAGCTGGGCTTACAAAGTACAAAATGCATGGAATGTGCAGGATAGTGCACCTAATTCCTGATAAAAATAGAAGAATTGTGTGATAGAAAATGAGCAGAAAACTAATTTTAATCCCAAGGGAACTAGGTTGGGCAGAGGTAAAAAAGCAGGAGGAAAACATATACAAAATATTTTAAAGCATCAAAATGTATGTAGTAGAATGCATACACAGTTTTCCTTCTGTGAAGAAGAACTGTCTTCCTCTGTAAAGAAGACACTGTTTGCTACATCTGATGGGTGTTGGCCATGTCAATTTGTGCCCTGCTGAAGCCATGGGGACTTCACAGTTATCTGACAAATAAAGAATAGAATAAATGATCTGCATTTCTAGCAGGTTAAGACGCCAGGTTATTTTATTGAGGCCTGTAAAATACTGTCGTGTAAAAGGAGAAATCCTATTAATAGTGATCATCTTGTCCACAGGTGTTTTTAGAGAAAAAAATCCCACATACCTAGCTGTTCATTCACATATAGTTCCCTGATCTCTGTGTCACGGGTGTGACTATTTCTGGAATTAATCTTTAAGATTCAGTGACAAGGTTCTAGTATTTGTATTCAAGTTTGGCTTTTAGCCAGAAAATAGGTAACGTTAAAACCCATATAGAATGCAGTCCTACATTTGCTTGGAAAAAAAAAAAAAAAAAAAAGGTTTACTTTTAATTTGTTTATAAGCACAACCAAGAAACCTAACTTTAACTTGATAATTCTTATTTTATGGATGAAGGTAGAAGATAATGTTAGGGCAAAAGGCAGATGTCCTTTCTTTTTTTGAAGCTTTATGTTCTTTGAATTACCTTTTCTGTTGGCTTAACAAGTTTGCTTAACCCTTTTTTTATTGGGCAATTATAGTAATGAAAATCTGCAACATTTATTGCTGAGCTGGACCAGTCTAGCGGGAAGGGGTGAGTCAGAATGAATTAAAATGATTTCATAGAGCAAACACAAAGCCTTTGTGTCCTAAGGAATGGCTGAATAAATAGCAAATAGTTGCTTGCTGAATAAAAGATAACACAAAGCAGCCTTGAACGCGCACTGGCTCCTTTACATTCTCAGTATCAAATGCCAGGATGTATCCAGCCTCAAGGCATAGTTTTGAGTGTTCAAAGCTTCTCTGGATTTTGGTATTTAGTCTGGGTGTTCAGTGGTTTACTATTCAGATTTTTTGCACAGATTTTGTGGTGTCACAAAGATTTTATTCCCCTCACTTTCCCTTCCCGTTGCTAGAGACAGTTTGTGTCAGGACAGCGGGAAAATTACGGTCAAAGTTAACCACTGTGTCTTTACAATGTTTATTTTGCTTCCTACAGTTTTCTATTTGTTTACTGGGGAACTGGAGGTGCTCCTGGACAGCCTCCAAATGTCTGGAAGAAGCACTCTTTTGGTCCTTAAATAGGGAGAGGGAGGAAGAACCAAAAGACATTACTAAGCAAGCCCTGCTTTTAAAAAATTAACCCACTTTTTATTAAATATAAATGTGAGTAAATGCAGAATTTGAATTTAAGATAGGTTCGTTTGGTTTTTGGTTGGGTTTTTTTTTGGTTTTTTTTTATAATGAGAAAAAATATCAACTGATTAACTCTATAAATATTTAGAAATTGTCTGTATGTTTTTTTCATTTAAAATGGGGATATTTTATAACTTAGTCTCACTTCCTAGTCTGTTACAGTTTACATGTCTGCAAACTTGAATAGCCATAAAAGCCTCAAAACATCTGTGTTAGGTTCACTACTGAGTGATTCATACAAGTGTTCAGACTATTGGGAGAGCTTGTGTACTTTTGAAAAACACTTTGTCTGTGACCCTAAAGCTAAGTCATAAAATAACAGTTCTGGAAACATCTCTGCTCTGAAAAAGAAGTTTCTTACCACAACCATTAAGTTTTTTGAGATCTGTGTGCATATATTTGAAATAACATAGTTAAAAAATATTATGCATGGCATGACTTCTTGTCAATAAAAAGGAATTATTATACATTTATGAATACTGCATATACTTTATAAAGGGGAGAAATTTTTCTAATTATTCACATGAATGTATAGAAATATTTTTTTCCCCTGAAAGCCATCAAAAATGTGAAAAATTGAACATGGCTAAATAAGTAAGATGTTAAGTAAAGTTTATGAGTAGTCATGGTTTCCTGAATGTTGATGAACATTTTATGTAGCAAGTCTTCTACTGCATCTCTTAGGAATTTTGTATTCCTCTCTGTCAAGATAGCCTCCTGACATTTTGCTGGTGTTTTACACAAAATGTGTTGTAAGGCACAGTCACAGTTTGCAATGAGGTGAAACAATATGACCCCGCTTTTAACGTTATTGCTTTCTCAGGTCATAATTATAAATATGGACAGCAATGCATGAATTGCCTGGAATTCATTCCATCTCTTTCCATCACAGAATATGCAAATTAAACACAAAACCGGTGCATTTTCATAGAACTTTTCTTCTTGTTGGACAGGAAATATCACTCATTCTCTCATTGTTCGCCACATTTCTAAAATGTTATTAGTGATTAAATGACACTATTTATGTGGTATTAAAAAGTAAAATCAAAGAGCAGCACAGTATGAATCTAGTGTGAACTTCTACCGTACATTTTTCCAGGGATTTTTTTTCAATACTTTAATTGTCCGCTAGAGAAGATTTACATCGTTTAAGTGAGATATAAGAACTGTTCTGTATTTCTTAAAGAAAATCTGTGCACAGAAAAGCAAGACAAAAAGTGTAAATAAAACTTTCCAAATATTATTGACAGCAGACTATATTTCACACTGTCTCTTTAACAAATATTTAGAGAATATTGAGGATGCTTCTCTTTTATCATTTTACATTCTTTGCATTTAATTAACAGCCTGTGATTAACATAAAAATAGAAAGCATCGACTTCGGGACACATAAAGCAGTTGTTATGTTGGCTTTTAATTCAATTATGTAAATATCAAAGCATAGATGGAAACATTATGAAGGAACCTCCTCTAAAATTAAACACATTCACCAAAGCTCTAAATGCACCGAATATGGAAATAATCAGGGAAAATCACATACCATCATTTCTTTTTTGTTGTTGAAGAAGCTTTAAAATTGCTGTGACCTTTTAAATATTTTTAAAATGAGACATAGTTAGCTAATGAATTAAGTACAGAGGAGTTGTCTGTGTTTGTTTCCTTGCAAATCATTTTGCAATTATTATTTCAGTAATCCTTACTAGTATTGCTGGGTTTTGTATATTTGTCAGAATGGTGTACTCCTCCAGAATTTTTCTATCTAAAAGTTTTTTGAAGTTTTTTTTCTGAAAATAGCGAGTAAAAGCAAAGATCAACTTTACTATTCTCTCTTCATTTCAGGGATGAAAGACCATCTTTTACAACGTCAGCACTTAGATGTTCTTTCAACTATTTTTCACCTTCATCATGGTTGTTTTTGAAAATATATTTTGTAAAAACAGAACATATGCAGGTAAAATGAATCTAGATGGCATCTCTTACTGAGATTGTAAAGCCTGGGAAACATACATGAGAACTGAGGCCAACATTTCCTTTTTCAGCTTTATAGCAGTGTCAATAACTGTACTGTCTCTAGCTGAATTGTCAAAACACCACACTCCAAACACAAAATTCTGTAGTATGAAAACTTCTGATCTTGAAATTATTTTCTCAACATATGCAATGTAAAATTAATCTAAACCTTTAATACATGAACTTACCTCTGCTTCCCTGAACTTGGAGAGCAAGGCAAATGATCAAAAATATTAATCCAGTTTTCAAATGCATGCTGTCTATTGATCATTCACAGTTTTCAAGACCAGTCATGCAGGAAATAAGAATGTTTCAGTCAAGTAGAAGAATTCTGTTTTCCTAAGGAACTCAAATCCCCAAACGTCTTTTGTCTTATTATTTTTCAGGTGTCCCCAGCTTTGGACTGCATTGAATTGCAACTAGGAAGAGTGCAACAGGTGCCAGAATGCAAAAGCTGGGCAGACCCCTTCAACACACTCACTTCTAGCCTGGGGGACTGGAGTGGTAAGACAAGAGTGACGAAGTTTTAAAAAAAAGCAGTGTCTGTTTCTGGAATAATCTGTTTATCTGCTGCTCAGACATAATCCCTCTTACGGTCCAGCTGGAAGAGCTTTCTTCATCTTATTAACCTTCTGCAGTGGCATCTGTCAACCCCAGAAGACTTCAGCAACACCATGATAAACAACGGAAGTCTCTTCTAGTTCCCATTGCCTTCAAATATTGATCCTTTGGGTGCTCTGGAAGTATCCCCTGTGAGCAGAGGTGAAAGCCTGGGGAGCACTAATTCTGCTGTTTCCAAACCAGTGATCACAAAACCTAGGGCACTTCCTTTGAAGAAGATAGCTTTTTCTGAAAGAACCTACTATGCTGTGCTCTTCCACTGCCTATGTCTCCGAATCCTCTCTCCCTTCTCGTACCAAAAGGTTGCTGTTGCAATATTCCTGTAGGAGCAGTGATGATGATGTTCTGTGACAGTGGTGAAGTGATGACTCAGCAGTAAATTGCAGCAGTCTTCAGGGCTGGCACAATCTGATGCCAAACTGTGAGTGGGGAAGGGAAAGTGCTGCATGGTGGGAGAAAAACAGAAAGGGCTGGGAAATGCTCTTTCAAACACAGCTCCAACCAGGCCAAGAACTGGCAGTGAGTGAATACACTCTTCAGACAGCTCTCCTTCAGCTTCCCAGATAACTATTCTGGTTACATATTTGACATGTGTAAGTGGTCCATACTTAACCTTTTATTTTTCAAGACCTTTTTCATTGTTGCATTAGACCTAAAAATGCTACCAGATTGTCATTTCTAATGGTCTGTCCCCCTTGGAGATTTTTGTGCAACTGTGCTTTAACATAAGGGGTATCTAGACTGGCAGCAAGAATCTGTAAGAACAAGTTACTCTAAGAACAACCTTCATTTGAACCCAAACAGTATTCTATTTTTACCTAGGATTTAAACAATGATAACCTCCCTCCCTTCCCAAGATTGCCTGATTTTAACTACTCAGACCAGCTAGTACAGAGAGTGGGCTGGGATCAAACAAGATCTTTTTTTTTTTTTTTTTTTTTTCACATTTTTTTCCTGATTTTTCCTGTGCTCATTTTAATGTTTTATGTATAACCTTTCATGCATAGTTTTTTTTGTTCTAAGAAAGCAAATAAAGAATACTTTGCCAGCAGCACAATGTAAAGCATCAGTGAAGATAATCAGGATTTCTACTGAAGAAAAATTTCATATTATATAAGGATCATTCTTTACCTATACCAATATTTGTCGTTACATATTTTCCATATGATAATCATATTGTATATAGTGTAATCATAGAAATATTACTTGTATGAACCAGGTGAGCTTTAGTGAGAATTTATAAGCATGTTATAGCTTATAAATTATAGCTTATAAATAGCTTAAATGATGGAGCTTCCTCTATATGTTAACTTCTTTTTAGGTACTTCAACTTTCAAACTGAAACAATAGGAATTGTAGAGAATTTTTCTCAGGGTAGTGGAATTTGCTGTTTCTGATGATGTCTGAAAATGCAGAATCGGGGAAAGTCAGATTACTTCCTCAGAGCACTCTGGGTACCAAACTTCATATGGAATTTGGTAGGAATGTGATCCTTTAATTCCATTAGGAATCTAATTTAAGAGCCAGACTGCATTTTGAAAATGTGCAATAGAGATTTACTTAATTACTGTAGAAACTGGTTAGCAAAGCTTGCGCCGGGAATGACAAATCCTATATCGAAGCTTAATTTCAAAACCTATTTTTTGAGCCATTCACATGTTGGAGAAGAGAAACATTTAATAACACCTATTTCTATCTTTCAGAGATGAAGGAACAGGAACAATCCTAGAATATAGCACTGTTGTTTAGTGTCAAGGTATGATTTAAGGAAAAGAGGTAAACTGTGATTAAAAATTTGCAGGGCAGGAGTCTGCGTACTTTAAGATTATGCTTAAGCCATGAATATTTCAAGCTGTTTTCTGTTAGGACAGTGTCTTCTATGTTTTTCCATTTAATTAAGAAATTTTGTAACTAACCTTGATAAATGCCACAGGGGAAGCAAACAAGAATGATAAACACTCATTAAAACTAGAGCAATATTATCTAGGGACCACTCCATCTCTAAGTACTGCAGTGTTTAATTATAGGTCACTGTTAATTAATCTAGAAGTGTTTCTTCTTGTTGGTTTGCTGTCAACAATAATTATATATTGTTAAGAAGGTGATTAAAATATTCTGCTGAAATTCAATAGTGCATTACAAATATACTACCATGACATGGGAAGGGCAAAACTGGATCCTAAAATATCCATTCACCCAGGATAGGTGCTTGTTAATGGGTTAAATCAGACACAATACTGGTCATCTCAGTGAATCTCTGCACATACTAGAATAATACAATGATATGCTGTTTAAGTACAACTAAAGCTGTTTCCTTTGTTTGCAGAAAAATGACCCTTTAGGCCTTCAGGCCACAAGAGCCAGATTGGTACTTATCAGCCCACATACACCAGGCACAGCTTTAGGCTTCTGATTAAAAGTGAGGAAACCTGGGTTCTTCTGCTCCCTTCTTTGCTGTTGAGTTTGACCAAACCAAGCCCTGTTTCTCAGCCTCCATATCTGCAAATGGAGGGAATGATCCTGGGAGAGATAGAGAAAAACTCAATAGGAACAAACAAGATGCTATGTGTAAGCAAGAATGGCTTTTTCACCCTTTATTCATGCATTAAAATGCAGATAAAATTATTTCACAAAGTAATATTTTAAATTTTACAAATATTTTATTTTTAGATATGCTGTTTTGCATATCAAAGTTAGGCATCAGTAGTAGCCCTGTAGTGGATTTAAAGACTTTCCCATGAAGAACAAAAATGTCTTTTGCTTTTCAAGCTTTTCCAGTTGGGCAGTATTTGTGTTTTGCCCAACCACATGGTTTTATTTGTTAACTGAACTAATACCAGATTTATATTTATATAGTAAATGATGAAAAAAAAAAAAGAAAAAAAAAAAAAGAAAAGAAATACATATCTCTCAGGTCAGGTAAAAAAATACCTATATTTTGTATACTGGGGTTTTTTTATGTTTCATTGACAATACCTTAAGAGCAGGGAACAAATACGATCACATCAGGAAAAGCCAGTTTGAAACTAAGCTGAATATTTTCTCCCTGAAAGAACAGATTGGCGTCCAGACATTGTGCTTGCAAATGTTCTTATTTTTCAAACCAATTCTTCTTTAAAACACATTTCTTTCTGGAAATTCTTACATTCTTCCTTCAAAACAGAACTCAAGCAGTATATCCTGGAAGAGTACCATACAACTTCCTTTGCTGATGGCCATAGGCTGTGACAGCAGTGGGCTAATGCACTACATTTCTACTGGGTTGTCATTAAAATAATAAAGTTAAAAGTGATTTGCACTCAGGTAAACCCAGATGATCAAAGCAAAGCTAAGGTATTAAGGAAAAGTTTATTCCAAAGTTGGAAACCCTAAGTACGCTGCTGTAAAATCATGCAGTTGGCAAATGAATAGTGCGGGGGCTGTTCCTGGCCTCTACATCACAACAGGCGTGGCACGTGGTGTTACCTCAAGGCTCTGCACTTGTCTGGGCTTTATGATCTCCCTCTCTTCCAGCAGGGCCCTCAAACATATCTGTGAGAAGGTGTTATCTCTACATGGAAATCCTGCTTCTCAAAACGTGCAGAGGATAAACATCAGTAGGTGTAAAAAATGAGATTTCCCCCACTGATCTTTCCCAGGCTTCACATGGCCAGCTGCCACTCTCTTGAGCGAAACCTACTGCCGCCTCACCAAATCGTTTGCTTTGGACCCTTTCATCCCAAGAGTAATAATGCAGAAAATGCTGTGAAAATGAAGATATTTTTTAGTCTGACTAAGTGCTGGAAGTGGAATAAGGGTATGGTTTAGAATAAAGGTGTAAATTTGAATTACAAGAAATAGCCAATAACAGATTCAAGAGTTTAAAAGAAACTCAGAGATTAGGGTTCTGAGTTGCTGACTGTGCCACTGAGTGTTTAAGCCAGCCTCTATATCAAAGGAAAGTTTTCAGGAAGGTTGTGGCACAAATCTGGAGAACAGTGCTTCAGCACGTCTGACTTCTGTATAAGGAGATGGATAAAAAACATAATGAAATAAACAAACACAGTAATAAGAATGATTTAGCTGATACAATGCCCTTGGTACCCAACTGTTTTTCATGAGTCTGCTCTTAAACCAGCTAAGCTGTTGTGAAGTAAAAAGGAAAATAATTTTTATTAATAGCTTGCTAAAAGACGACAAATACAGGAAAAAATCAGTAATTTCAAAGGTGTTCCGATTCAAAGGTTTTATGCAGGAAGGTGGGGCAAATCTGCTGATGGTGCATAATTACTCAAAATCTCCAAGATTTACAATAATAGTAAACAGATGCAGACCTATGTGCTGGCTGCTGAATGTGGGTCATAAGACTGCGGATAAACTGTATCAATGGGGAAAAAAAATAATGCTATCAATGAACAGATATTTATCGGCATTGAATTGGTAACAGCCATTTGGCAAGGAGTCATTGAAAGAATAATTTTCAATTTTTAGCCATGATCAAAAGGGAAATAGAACTTTAGTGGTTTATTAGAAAGGGATAGAAAGGAAAGCAAATGTTTTAAAAACTGAAATGGCATCTTGTACTGTTGTCCTGCAACAGCAATAATGCCTAGAGCAATTAAAAATTTGAATGAGGTTGCAATGAAGATTATCAGAGGAATGGAATATTTCCGTACAAGGAAATATCACACAGGCTTGGAATCTTTGGCCTGAAAGAGAAATGACAGAAGGGTTGAGGAAATGATTAAATTACTTAGTTTTTCTTGTAATATGAGCACAGGAAAATACTGAATTGAATTTTCAGGCATCTGTAGTGTAGCTTCTTCCTGAGCCTTTCATATTTTTGGTCTCCACACCTTGCTGAGACAATAAATTTTCAAATTTAATTATGATTTTATAAAAATTTATTTCCTTTAAATAAGAACAAGAAGGAATTTGAGAAATTCTTGAATGATAAGACTATCAAGGATTGGGATACATGTGGTGTTCCAGCTGTAACCTCTTCCCCAAAGTCAGTCAAACACATTAAAGGCAGGCTAGGAACTGAGTCACTTTTGCTTGCCCATTTTTTATGTGATTTCCTTATCCATTTATTTGCCATAAATATAGATAAGATAGTAGATTGACTGAGTCTTTGATCTCATCCATGACTACCATTGGGCACTGAGCTGTAATCCCTCAGATTAACTTGCCATTAAAGTCGAGCTTACTCAGTAGTTACAACTCCTGCTCAGACTGAATGGTAGAACAAACTTATCTATTTTCTGTAATACCTCTCTCCTCTGAAACAAGAAACCTGATGGGCAAACCCACGACATTCCATTCTGCACTGGCAGAGAACATTGTGGAATTCTAGTCTGAACTCACAATTGGAGCAGTTCTTCATCTCCTTTAATGAATGTAAACTTAGACTTCTGTGTTGAAAAATATCTCCACGTTTCTCTGGGGTCTTTTA